CTAATTATGGAATCGTACGATCTTTAGCGTTTTAAAAATACGTATACGATCTTCGATCTTTCGTAAATACATATTCATCGAACTCGTTTAAAAGCGTCTTATTTTCTAATTGTGACAAAGACAAGCTGACGACTCTCTGTGCAAAGTTTGAAATAAAAATTCTCTCAAGAGACATCTTATCAAGGATAATGCTATATTTCTAAGTCCAACCAATCACTTTTTATTCTCCTTTCAATTGTATAAACATTCAAACGTATTTTATATATATAATCTGTTTTACCAAAACAGGTATTCTTCTTTCGTTCCTTGAAAATTCGAATCTCGAGCTCGCACCGATTATTGATGCATTCGATTCATTCGGCTCGGCAGCTAAATAATCGAAAGGGTGAATCCAGGCAGGAAATTGCCAGCTAAACACACACATCTTGACGTCGTAATGTAGCTCGGTCGCGCACGTAACTATCCGCCATTTTCACGGCTGGTTCGTCACGGTGTTTTCGTCCTTCGGTCAAAGGTGGCAGTGGGCTCGTGAGAAAAAAAAAGGAGCGCGCCACCGATGAATATTTGATCCCGTGTCGCACGGCACGCGACACGACACGGGAGGGTCGTTTCGATCCTTTTCCAATTCATCGATCCTTTCCCCCCTCTGCCAAAATCTACCATTATCTCGCATAGATAAAAGAATTGAAAAAATTTTTTTTTTCTTGGAAAAAATTGTACATACCAATACTTTGCCAAAATGAAATAAATCACTAGATTAACTATCCTCGTTGAATGATCTTGAATTAAAATATCACTTTCGCAATTCAAAGAATATTAAATATATTCGACGATTAGAGAAACCTTTTCATAACTCGATTAAAAATGATAAAAGATCTTCGATTGGGAAGAATACGTGTTTTCCCGCGGATGGTGGTGGTGGTGGTGGTGGTGGTGTATATAATATAAAATATTGATGAGACGATCGTGGAACATTTACAGGGCGGGCCGCGCGATTCGTCTCGCCGATTCGAACGGGAGCTCGCGTGAACCCTTTATCGCCGGCCAAAAGCGAGCGTGTCGAATTGCAGGGCCAAGCCTTCCGTGCCTTTCGTTATTTATTGGCGTCGTTATGGGCTAATAACACGTTTTGGAACAAACTAGCCGTGACAAGCACCGGTCGCAACCACCGCCTTTCTCGCGTCTCCCTGAATCCGATTTTCTTTTCTTTTTTTTTTTTTTTCCTTCCCCTTCTTCCTTCTTTTTTATTCTTATCTCGCTTGTTTCAGGTACATAACTGTAGGATGCTCGGCGCTGAGACTGATCCTACGAAACTTCGCATCCGTGATCAAATCGAACGTGGAAGCGCCACTTCACACGATCGGTGTAGACGTGTCACGGGAGGAAAGGTAACTTTCTCTTTTAATTAATACAATCAAAAATATTAGAGTCAGAATTGTAATTGAAAAAAATGTACATATATTTCTTTCTCTCTCTTCTCAGATACCACAAGTGCCTCTCCTGTTTCGAGAAGCTCTCGACGATCAGAGGTATCCTGTTGAAGAAACAAGGTACGCCGGGCAAATTGGGCGTTTTGTTCCGCGAGTTGGCCGTGCTGATAAGGAGCATCGAGTGACCACGGCTGAGGAGCATGGTGAATCCGGCCGCCAGACTCGTCGTTACCTGACAGGGAATCGAGAAAGCTCGAGGGAAGAGGGGCGTGTGGACCACGAGGGAGAATCATCAACACGCTTTCGAGTTGCCTTACCCGGGCAAGCTTGGCGGATCAGCTCGCCGGGGAACGCTTTCCTCCTCGCTCCTCGGCTCGTTCCGGGTCCTAACCGATCATCCGGCGGCGCCACGTTCGAGGAGGGAGACGAACGAGCGGCGGAAGACGAAATTCACGACGAAGATGATGACGCTGAAACGACGTTGAAACGGAAGAAGAAGAAAAAGAAGGAAACGGATTACTTTTTTTTTATTCTCTCCTCTTCGTAAACCTTCAGCAAACGATCATCACACAAACTACAGGAGGAGAGCGTGTTGAACGATTTAAAAATTTGTCGAGGCTGCGCACGACATTTTCGTTCGTCGTTTCGGCTCCGCACAAGAGTTGGAGCCTGTCCCGTCTTTTTTTAAAGGGAACCGGATGAACCCTTAAGAAAACGTCGAGAAAAGTTTCGTCGATCGCGAAACCGCGCCTCGAGTTTTACGAATTTCTTCTTTATGAAATACCAGGGAGAGAGAGAGAGTGAGTGAGTGTATGCGTGAAATATTATATATATATATATAAAAGAGGTGTTGATGATTATATTATAGTAAAAAAAAAAAAAAAAAGAAAAAAGAAGAAAAGTGTAATATCATTTAATATATTGCGCTGTGTACAGACAGATTGTATAATCGTGTATATCGATGGCGTGCTACGTCGTCCTACGTTTTTTCACGAAGTTGTGGTGCATGCGTCTTTGCCCTCGCCTCGGGCCAAGAGAAATAAATATGAAATGGCGGTTTTCGCGAGGACGAAATTTTTCTCGACATCTCTCTTATTGTATTCTATTGTCTCTCCGCGGGGAAATTATCGAGAAACGCGGTTGTATTATCCATGGCCTTCTTGCCAGTCTCGTGTCCGATTTACGCATGCGAGTATAAGTAAGTTTTCCCTAATGCAGGAAAAAAAAAAAAAGAACGAAACGAAGAGAAAATGATGATGATGATGATTAATACGACAAGTGAGATAATTAAGAAGTAAATAATAAAAAGATAGGTAGGAATACAACATTTTTCTAATGATAACAGGAGGAAGAATGAGAAATAACAAATTGTATTTTTGCAACAGCCATTTGCGTCCTTTCACTTAAATAAAAAAGAAAAAAAGAGAGAGGAGAGAGAGAGAGAGAGAGAAGAAGATACTCTAATTAGTAGATATATGACTCGATGTATGACTCCCGAACAAAAGAGAAAAGGGAAAAAAAAAAAAGAAATGTCGAAGCTGCTTGCGAGTTGAAGAGGCGCGGATTAGAATTAGTTTTCCTTTTTTTCTGAAATTCGAGCGTTGACGTTGAAAATTCAAGAGTTAAGGATAATTGTCGGGAAAAAGAGACGAGAATAAATAAAACTCTTGCACTTCTCTTGTGCTACTATTTACATCGGATTATTAACTTTGGATAGAATTTTAGAAGAATTTTAAAAATTTTTGCTTCTTCAACACGAGCAAAAAAGAATTGGAAATGTCGAAAGAAGAGCGAAGAAGTTAAATAGTTGTGGAAGAAAAAAAAAAAGAAAAAAAATGACACGATTCTAAGAAACGTTTTCTTTGTACTATGAACTTTGAACAATGCGTTTCGTTTTTCATTCTCGCCTCTTTTTCAATTTGTCTCAGTGATACCAGTTTTAATACGTTCCCCTCTTCTTCGTTCTTATTTTCCTCGAATTAACCTCCCGAATTTTTAAACGCCGCATTACGAGAGATTTCATCGTCGAGGAACGGCCTACACACAATCGTCTGCTATATTCGTCCATCCGAAATTAAATTTCGAGAATTCGAAAATTCGAAAATCGAAAGAGATACTCCCGAAACTCCGGGTACCGTTTATTAGAATAAAAGATAAACGTGTAGAGTAACGTTATTATCGTGATTGCAGATCGTTAAACTGTGAAATCACTCGTACCACAGCTTTTTTTGCAAAACTGTGTACAATAATGAATATTTCGTAATAATCGATTATTATCGAGAGGATGAGAGAGAGAGAGAGAGAGGAGGATGATAATGTTTTTTCAAAGAGATTTTTTGGATTTCATTTTTTTTTTGCATGAATCGTAGAGATACCGTCGAAGATACCTTTCGACATCGTGTTCCAGTGACAATTTTTTGGGATCAGAGAAGCAGTCGGTTGACGAGGCGGTAACGGAAAC